GTCCTGTCAGATGTAATAGCGGCCGGAGCTCCACGATGCTCCGACGGCGTGACGTCACGGCGTGCATAGGCTCCTCCTTACGCGTTACGTGCCAAGCACATCCTCAGAGAAAGAACCGGCGTCTATTACATCTGACAGGACGCAATTCCTTTCCCAGATACGTTTTTTGCCCAGTGGAGGAGTCGTGTTACTTCTGAGGGATCAACGCTCGTTCTGTTTCCTGTTATCAAGAGGTTTTCTTCCTGCCCAGCTCTGCACCACCCGGGGATCTTCTCTGACCAAGGGAACACCATTTCCATTCTGATGATTACCCCATGAGCCTTATGATTTCTACATTGCACTTTTAATGTGCACATCTGGTTAGTGTGCACTTTTACTCCAAGTCACCTTTGCTGGGACTATTTTTACTCACATTTATCTATTGTGATATTTATGACAACTTTATATAGTTTTAGCGCTGCACTTTATATATAAAATTTTTTTAAATGTTTTACATAGCTATAGCTGCAAAAGGGGCCAGCATGAAGTAATCTAGCAGTAATCTGTGCTGCAGCACTGAGATGGGACCAGATTCTTTATTATGGGGAACCTGAACACGCGTTTTAGCGCATTGCAACACAACAACATAAAACAGTGTAAAGGGGTCCTAAAAAAAATAGTTGTCTTTTTGAAGTGAACATGGACTTTCTAAAAGAGACGTTCCCTAAGTAATCACATGAATGGATGGGATCGTCAGAGGGATTTTTGATCCTCTTATAAAATTCTATTTTTGCTCCTCTCTCCTTTTAAAATAACATACTATATTGGAGGGTCTTTTCTGTGCAACCTAAAAGATCTAACCAGGAGACGTGAATTTATTTTTACCCCATTTTATCCTGGCAGAGAAATTGGAAGATGATCTTTTCTTCTGTTTGATACCATTGGAAGCGAACCTCTCCTGCACTGTCAATCTATTTCTGTGCGTTCAAAGCTCTTCATGTGAGCGCGTGTCACCTGCTTGTGATAACCGTGAGCGGACTGCGTGGGCTCACCAGCAATGTCTGTGCACTGAGCTGTTTGGAGGTGCAGTACATTACAGGAGTAAATACCAGCCGGGTCCCTTTGGCTTCGTTTGTTTCATATCAGAGCTTTGGCACAGCTGTCTTATGTGATGCTTCAGCCTGCAAGGAGATGCGGGATTAAAGTGAAAGAGGTGCTCGAGCGAAATGCTACTTATCAAGTCAGTGAGGCCTTTGTAAATAAGAAATCAATGATTCAATGTGTATTATTCATCTCTCTGTTCTCCAGACTTCTAAAACCATGCTGTATTTAACCCCTTTGCCACCAAAATGCCTCTCTAAAAAAAAGAACAAAAATGTACTGAAAGGGTTAAACTAAAAGAAATGCTAAAGTGATTTTAAAGGCTTATTTTTTTTAAAAGAAAAAATAACAAACATGTCTGTGCATACCTGCCGTGTGCAGTAGTTTTGCACAGAGCAGCCCAGATCCTCCATTTCTCGGGCCCTCCGCCAGCGCTCCTGGCCCCTCCCTCCTGTTGGGTGCCCCCACAGCAAGCAGATTGCTATGGGGGCACCTGCTGCTTCGTGTGTCCATTTACACGCCCCTCTCTCTTCTCAATGGCTCACTGGCTATGATTGACAGCAGTGGGAGGCAGCTCCCACTTCTGGCTCAGCCAATGAGGAGAGGGAGTCCTGGGATAGCAGAGACTCCAGTGCACATCGTTAGATCAAGAGGGGTCTTAGGTGATATTGGGGGGGCTAGGGAGAATGCTGCACACAGAAGGTTTTTTACCTTCATACACACAGCCTTTACAACCACCTAAGTAATAAACCAACATTTAAATGTTCCCTCCTCCTTTCTCTGTATTAATCTGCATACATTTTATAACAAATCACAATGTAAATACCGTTTTTAGCATTTTCTTCTATATCAGAGGTCTCCAGATGTTCTAAAGAAAGGGCCAGTTTACTGTCCTTCAGACATTAGGGGGGGCTTTAGGGGGGCTGGACTGTGCCCAGTGGGAGTAAACAATGCCCGATCTTTGGTATTAGGAATAGTTGGTGTCAGTGGGAGAATATTACCATTTTTCTTGTCAGTGGATGGAATTATGCCCCATCATTGATGTTAGTGGAAGAAATAGTGCCCCATTATTGGTGTCAATGGAAGGAATTATGACACATTGCTGGTGTCAGTGGCAGAAATAATGCCTCAAGGGCTGGATAAAGGCAAGTAAAGGGACGCATCCGGCCCCAGGGCACAGTTTGCAGACCACTGTTCTATATGGTCACCACAAAGCTCCACTCTCTCACTCTTTCTGGTGTGACTGTTGGGAGTGAACCCTCTCCAACAATGGCTAGAGAACTGGTTGCCTCCTGGTGATGTCACTGCACTATGGAAGATTAAACAAGGAGGAGATTGCGATGTCATCACTCCTCCTCTCTACCTCATCCAATCAGAGAATGCTTTGCATTCATTAAGAAAATGCAAGGCAGCCTCCAAGTGGCAGTTGTGTCAAGTGAGCACCCCCTGTGGTTACTATGCAGAAGGGCAGTTGTTCATCATAGCACCTGGAAGGCTGAGCATGGTCCTGGTTACTAGAATGACATACTGCTTCCACAGATGCTGGTTGGTGATCACATGTGCATACTTGCATTGTGCCAAGCTGGTTCAATGTAAGTTCAGCTTTAAATTCTGGTTTATTATTTAGCCATTACTTCCACTTCAAGGGCATGTTCACACATGTTGCCAGGGGGGCAGTACATATAGGATGGGACTGAGTTTTACTGCTGCCCCAACCACTCCCCTTAACCTAATCAGAGCAGCCGGGGGGGGGCGGGGCATTCTGTTCGGCAGGCATTACTGCCACCGGAGGCAGCACATTTAAAGTGCATCTAAACCTAACTTACAGTCCTCATGCACACGGGACGTCTGATAACACTGGTAACCTTAGCAGTGTAAAGTCACGTTAAAAACTTGAGTTTTTCAGGCTTTTTTATAGCATTTTGCATTAGCGTTTTGCAGCGTTTAGTGGCGTTTTCCCATGTTTTCCCGCGTTTGCAGTCTTTAGCATTTTTTAGCTTTTTTTCTGGTCAAAAAAAAAAGTCCAAAAACGCCGGTTTGTGGCGTTTTTACCACGTTTTTCATCATTAAAGTGTTTTTACAGCTAAAAAACTCCTCTAGAAATCCACTAGTCCTGTGTTTTTTTTCCACCCAAAAAAAATCCCAGCTAAAAAACGTAGATTACAGTCTATGTGCATGGACACATAGGATAACATGCTGGATAGTTTACTAGCTGTAGAAAAAAACGTCAAAAGCCAAAAACAGCTGCTGTAAAAACGTCCCGTGTGCATGAGGACTTAGGAAAATGTGAGCAGGAGGCTTTTTGTTGCAGAAAAGACATGCTATGTTTCTTCTGAAATAATAGAAATTGTCTGCCTGCTTGTAGTTTTCTACAGAATGTACACTGAGCTGCACATGCACAGTTCAGGGTGCATTACCGGCACATTTCAGCTGTGCCGGCATGACTGCCTCCTGTGCCCATGTCTGAGATGATGTCATCCCTCACGGCCAATCAAGAGGCTAAAAATCTGGCACCTGGGGAGAAGATGACAGTGGCTGGCAAGGGATGCAACTGCCACATTTCTGGAAGGTGCAGGTGAGTATACTGAGATTTTTAGTTCCACTTTAAAGTGGAACTTCACCCTCGCAGTCAACAACTGTTTTTTATCCTTTTGCTGCTAGCATTAGTAATTGGATAGGCAAGTTTATCAGATTTATTTGTTTTAAACATTTTTTTATATTTCTTCAGTTACTTCCTGGTTTCCATGTCTAGGCAGGAGGAGAGTATGGGTTTTCTTAGCTAAGCACAACCTCCTTCTGACTGCATGCCTGTGCTAAGGGCAGATGGATTCCAGGAAGTAAATGCTACATGTATCTTCTGCCCCTAATCAAGATGGCCACAACCAGATATGCTAGATGGGTGTTTTTCAAAGTGATTTCTCAGCAAAATAAATCATGGAGACATGAATGGATGGGGGAGTTTGCTTTGCCTATTAAAAATAAATTAAGCGGCGTTTTTGCTTTGTGGTGCTTAGATGCAGTGAAGTTCCGCTTTAATGACTAGGGCTGTACCGCAACCACATGCAATGAATTATAGTCGGTGGTGGTACAGGCATTTCAGGGTTAAAGCAGGAGGTGAGGAGGCAACATAATGCCTCCCAGCCACCTGTCAGCAATCCACACAGATTGCTTTTCAAAGGGGCAGCATTGCCTGCCACCAGTGTAAACAGATCCTCAGAAAAAATGTGTCGGTGTCTTTATGTTACAATGAAATCACAGATTCCCACTTGGCCTGTATGGAATAAGGCCGGCCATACATGGGTTGAAATTCAAACGATTTTTCATCTAATTGGCCGATTTCCGCTCTGTTAGTGGGACAATGGCACTGGCCGATTTTTGTGGTTCCCCCCTTTTCGGTGATCGGGCATATTGGAAAATTTGTGAAAACGACCGATTTTTTACTCAATGATGGTCAAATCGTACGATCGTTTTTTCTGAAAAGAATATGCACATGAGCCGTGACCTGGAAGGAACAGAAGTTTTGCCTGTTATATGGGGTGAACTTTATGACTCGGTCGACAGATTTTCGAAATCATTGATGGCACCATCGGATTACCGAGCGAACGACGTTTCCGATTTTTTGGAAAAATCATTCGGTATTCGAACCATGCATAGCCTGCATAACTCCCATGTGTCTGAGCATATATATCAGACCTGAAAAGCATACTGCATTCTATGCAACTCTTTACGAAGAAAAAAATGTCAGATCTTCCACTGCTGATCACACCGCTGCACTCAAAGTAAAACTAAAATTCTGGATCAGCTTTACAGCAATATGATCTCTGATCGTGTATGACAAGATTCCAAAAGCTTCAGGGGCTTAAAATTTCAAGTCCTGAGCTACTAGCCAGGCCTTAGAGTTACTCACCACCAACAAACACACACAAACAGACACCTGTACACACACAGACATGTACATACACACATATACACAGAAACATGTACACACACGCACAGAAACACCTGTACACACACATACAGACACATGTATACACACACAGGCACATCAGACACGCATACACACAGATACATGTACATACACAGAAATACACACGCACATACATAAACACACACACACATGTACATGCACACAGACACATGTACACACACACAGACACATGTGCAGATACACACATGTACATACGACACATGTACAATTGTACATGCATACAGAGACACACACAAACACATACACATGTACACAAACACAACCCTAAAAAGTTGCAGTACTTCGTTGTTCACTCACAGAGTCAGGTACTGCACTCTAGGGGGAGGCAGAGAGCACAGCACACACGCCTTCCTTTGCTTTCACTGCGCTCAGCTATTGAGCATTCTGACGGCTCACAGTGCCAATGACAGATCCAGCCTGAGCTCCAAGCCTGCTCAGCAAGATAGCCCTGGGGGACACACTCGTCCCCACAATAATTTCCACTCGCCATTGGCGAGCAGGCGAGTGGAAATGTCAAGCCCTGTTTAAATCATTGACGATCCAGAAGATTGTGAAGAGTATGGCAGCATAAAAAGCTCTGGCTGTCAAAGGCGCCCATACAGTGACAGGCAATAACATACGGAAGGCTAAACATTGGGTCTGTGTAATGTGCATAGCTGCACCTCTAAAAATGGCTTCGATTCATGTCATATTAATTTCACAGAAGACCAGGAACGATCTAATAATCGCGCGTTTTATTTACAAATGAAAGGAAATGCTTCCAAGTTTTCTGTTTATTAGTTTTTTCTATAAATAACTCTTTGGCACAAGTCCGTTGTGTGAATCTGATTTTTCTACTGAAAGCCAACAAGGTCACAAGCTCAGAAAGACAATGATACATTTTATAACTGCAGAAAAACACGCAATACAGATACATGCACTTCCAAAAACACAATCTATGGAATAAAACGGCAGACAAAGTTAATCATCATTGAACAAGATTATGTATCAGGGAAACCGGATTGTGTGCAGAAAAGTATATTGCCCAAAAATCTCACCCATTAGACCAGCCTTGCCCATCAGGGTTCCTCCAGAGGTCGCTAGGGGGTCCTTGAGTCATTTCTGCCTCTTGGGTAAGTATTCAATGAGCTTTTAAGCTATCTGTAAGGTGTCAGTCAGGGCACAGTAAAATATATACAACATTTTTCTCAGAACCGACGCCAAACTTGACTTATTCAAGTGAATAGGACCACAATGCAATCAAGTACAATGCACATGGTGTGGTGGGCTTTCAGTGGTTAAAGTGTTACTAAACCCAGGACCCTGCATTCAATATATCTGGTCTCCCACAGTACACAGAACAGGGAAATGCAATTATTTTTGTAAATATAAACTGAATACCTTTTCTCATCAGCAGTATATAGCAGTCTAGTGACTTCTATCAGTGTCTGGCTGAGCACTGGTTAAACTTGTAGGAGGAGTTTTCATTCTCCTCTGGCTGTCCTATGAGGCTGCATTACCCCTGAACCTCTGTCCGGACAGCGCTAATTAGCCCTGTGCCGATCACATGCATTCTGTCCCACCCCCCTTTCTAGCAATACACATCAAACTATGCATGTGCAGAGTGCCTCCTAGGGCTTTGAACTATCAGGAAATGGATTGGGGGCAGTAGAGGAAGGGGCGGATCACAGCAGATAGGATCAAGCAGCCTTTTTACATAATGCGGAAACTTAACCCCTTAGGTTACATACTGAGTATAACAAGCATGCTTTACTGCATGTACAGACTGATTTTACTGTTGTGGGTTTAGTAACACTTTGAGCCTGGGTTCACACTGATGCGGTGCAAAATTTGCACCGGTTTCTGTGCGATTTCCGAACCGCATCACAATCGCACCCCATTTACACGAACCATTGCGGGTGTGTATTTTACGTTTACGACACCCTTAAATCAGTTCGCAAAACGTGGTGCGATGTGCAGAATCGGATCGCATGGGTGTGAACAGCCATGCAATCTGATTCTAGGGAGGAACAAAAAAAGGGTCCTGCACCTTTTTGAAGCAAATGTGGTGCGATTAGAGTCACACAAAATGTATGGCTCAAATCACACCACACAGAATTCACATGTGAATTGCACAGGAATGCAGTGCGGTTCCTGTGCGAATCACATGCGGCATGTTGCACCGCACAAGTGTGAATCCAGGCTAAAACAGGAGCTCAGGAAGTGACATATTGCCTTTAAGCCACCTGTCAACTGCCTCCAAAAAAGCAATCCACTGCAGATAACTTTTTGAGAAGGGCAGTAAACTCTACCATACATGTAAATGAGACCTATGGGAGATCTTCCGACTGACCACAAATGTAAAGCAGACCTTCACTCTTTATATGAACTTTCCCCCTCTCCACCAATCCTCCCATTCACTGCAGAAATTGGGCTTTTTTAAAATACCTTTTTCTGGGAAAAAGATAGCGGCATGCTCCTCAATGCATGTCAAGCGCCTAGACTAAGGGTCTCCAAACTGAGGCCCATAGGCCAGATGTGGCCCTTTGCTTGCCTTTGTCTGGCCCTTCCATTCCTTCCATTGATGTGAGGCACTATTCCTTACACTGATACCAATGATGGAGCACTATTCCTCCCACTGAAACCAGTGATGGAGCACTATTCCTCCCACTGAAACCAGTGATGGAGCACTATTCCTCCTATTGAAACCAATGATGGGGTACTATTCCTCCAACTGAAACCAATGATGGGGCACTATTCCTCCCACTGAAACCAATGATGGGGCACTATTCCTCCCACTGAAACCAATGATGAAACACTATTCCTGCCACTGAAACCACTGATGGGGCACTATTCCTCCAACTGAAACCAATGATGGGGCACTATTCCTCCCACTGAAACCAATGATGAAGCACTATTCCTGCCACTGAAACCACTGATAGGGCACTATTCCTCCCACTGAAACCAGTGATGAGGCACTAATCCTTCCACTGAAACCACTGATGGGGCACAATTCCGCCCACTGAAACCAATCATGGGGAACTATTCCTTCTACTGAAACCAATCATGGGGCACTATTCCTTGCACTGAAACCAATCATGGGGCACTATTCCTTCCACTGAAACCAATCATGGGGCACTAATCCTTCCACTGACACCAATCCTGGGGCACTATTCCTCCCACTGAAACCAATCATGGGGCACTATTCCTTCCACTGAAATCAATGATGGAGCACTATTCCTCCCACTGACACCAATTATGTAAATTTTTGTTTATTCCCACTGACCACCAAGCCTACGGCATTGTTTACTCCTACCGATGCCAGGTAATTTTTCTACTCCCACTGGCCACAGTCTGGCCCCCCTAAAGTTTGAGGGGCAGTAAACTGGCCCTTTGCTTAGAAAGTTTGGAGACATCTAGCCTAGACAACTGATGTGCATAGTGCTCGCTTGACCTCCTGAGATATGCACGTCACATAGGAGGACTTCAATCACTCATTGAGATGTAGGAGAGGGGGTAGGCTCAACAGCACATCATCGCGAAGCCCCGCCGGCTGAACCCAATGATGTCACAAGTAAGATGGTGGCATGGGACCCATCATGTGTCTGCTAATAAAAGGATGTAAGCGGGACAACGATGAATCTGACGGCTGGGTGAGTATTCAAACTCTGCCTAGAACAACAGAAGGTAAGCTGCGGCAGAGAAGAAGAAAATGTTTTTTTTTTTTTTGATGAAGGTCATCTTACCCTAAGCTGTAGATATAGTGTCATAGGTTTCCCTGAGACCGAAATGTTATTTCAAGGGTTCCTCCATGTTAAATGGCCGAGAAAGACTGATTTAGGATCTGTTTTCTACTCTACTATGGAAATGTCCCACGTAATCTTTATAGGCAGAGAAGGTCTACAACTGCCTTTCTCCGATAATAATCAGCCCGTGTGCTGGCACACCTTCAATGTATGAAACATTTACTCTGAAATAACCATCTCAATTCAACAGCAACTGTTCATTTACAGAGTGTGATGTACTGCACACTAAGCACAGCCTATTTCTGTGCAAGTCATTGATATCTGATGGAAATGGTATAATTACGCATAAGTGATTATGTCACATGAATTAGGACTAAGGATATATTTGCTGTTATTACAACTATAGGTATAATCCACACTGATGGAAGGCAGCCATATCCCTGGCTGTACATCCATTCAAACAGTTCACTAAGCATTAGTGACATCATGGTGGTGCGGGAAGCTCTCTCTTTCTCTCTCTCTCTGGAATTGAATGGGTTAAACAGTGCAGCTGCCTTGAAAAGAGCGGGGATATTTGTAAGCTTATGAGAAGAAGAGTCCCTAGTCAGTGGATATAAAACACAACTAATGGGACCTGCTCCCAATCTGCTGGCCAGTATCAATGCTCGAGCTCTCCGATGGAAGGGATTTCCTTTTCAACATACCATAAGCCTTTTACTGCTCTAATTGTTACTCGTGAGACCTGGCTCCAGTTCAGGGCTCCACTAGCACCAAAACAGAGGGAGGGGTGGATGAGTTGTGTCTCAGACCCCATCTTATCATGGGCAGGGATGACGAATAAGTGGCATTTCATAGCACTCATCCCATGGGATGGTGGCGACCAGCTGAACATGAGGACCATCGTGACATTACTGTAAAAATCTAACATCGAAAAATGTCTCTGATCTGTTAGCTAGACTGCAATTCCATAAACACGTGCAAAGCTAATGGAAGATATATTTTTATTAGTGTGCCGCGTATGAAATGCTTAAACAATCTTCTAAAAATGAAACATCCTAATAAAAATTATTTGACCTACTAGATGCAAATATCTTTCACGTACTCAGAGAGTAAGTTCTCCTTGTTTGCTTCCTCATGGCAAGTCTCTTATCCCATTCAGTTAGAGCAGGGGTGGGCAACTGTGGCCCTCCAGCTGTTGTAGAACTACAAGTCCCATGAGGCATTGCAAAACTGGCAGTTACAAGCATGACTCCCAAAGGCAGAGGCATGGTGGGACTTGTAGTTCACCAACAGCTAAAGGGCCACAGTTGCCCACCCCTGAGTTAGAGCAATGGTCTCCGAACTTTGACCCAGGAGCTGGATGTGGTCCTTTGCTTCCTTTTATCTGGCCCTTCAGGCACTATTCCTTCCACTGATATGAGGCACTATTCCACCCACTGACACCAACGATGGGGCGTATTTACCACAAGGCAAACAAAGCATTTCCCTAGGGTGGCATTTTTCAGGGGGGCAGCACTGTCCCCTGGAAGAAGGGACTGAAGAAGGGACACACGTGGCATGGGGGTCAGGTCGCATCCAACAGAGACTGCGGGCTGCTTGATGGTATATGCAGAGCCTGACTTCATTCCCGAGGATGTCCAGAGCTGTGAAGGTGAGTGTCTTTCTCTCTCACTGGGTGAGGAAGGTGGTGTATGGGGGCAATGGTAGTGGAAGGCTCTCTTGGGGGGGGGACAGGGGTGTTGTTGGTCAATGTCTCAGGCTCTCTCCTCCACGGGGGTAGCGTTGGGTGGTGTTGGTTGGTGTCA